CCCCAAAACCCCAAAACCCCAAAACCCCATTGTTAGCATTAAGATGATAAGATCGTGACTTAGAAATTTATACTCAAAATATTGCTAAATTTATTTTCACCACGATAACTATTAAATAATAAAATGTAGAAAGTAGTAATTCTATCATTGCTGTCTCTAATTGCAGTCAAAACTGCTTTGGTTGAAGTCAGCAACTAACATCTAATTCAAAGGCTCTCAGCCGAGGGAGATGCTTTGAACAAAATAATCAACCTGAAATGGCATGAGCTTAATCATCAAGATGATGTCAAGTTAGATTTGGAGTCACTTAAAACTTCAAATCCCTAAAACTCAGAGAGAAAAGCAATAGATTTCACTTTCTAGGGCTAAGTATCTTCGCATCATTTCTCAGCAACCATTCACACAAAGCTTGAATCATCACCTCCTTATGATAACTACAGAAACCTTCCAGTTAGCTCAGTTGAAATAACAGGCGTTGCTGACGGATAATTGAAATAAGACCTAGAACAATCAATTGGAAGATTTGCGGACGCACTTACTGGTTGGACTCATTTTCAATTATGGGAAACATCTGCAGAATTCTATGTGCTCCATCTAGCAACTTAATTTGGGTTAAGATTGTGTAATGCATTCTACACCAATGGGCAATCTGTATTCTTAGAATAGTCAGGAGCTAGTCTTAGGAATTTTACTACCAGATTAGAATAAGTAAATCAATACTCTAAGCTGCCATCTAGTGATCCTCGATACTTCTCTATCACTTTAAATGATAAATTCTTGCTTGACTTCTTTGAGGCATTCCTAGGTCCAGAGAAATAAATCAACGTAGCAACGTTCTTGTCAAATTTCAATACCTTAAAGTAGTATGTTGAAATGATGAAAGTTGATAAATTGTTAATGCTATTCCCTACTCTAGCTGATAGATACAATAAGAATGATTCAATTAGCATCATGATTAGTCCAGAAGATACATTATAAGAGGGTGTTGATTACGCAAAAAAGAATATCAAGATTGTATTTAAAAAGGATTCTGCAGATATTCTCCTTCCAATTGTATTTAACTTGATTGTGAATTAGAGTGATTCTTGGGATATATTCCGTAAAGGATACGTCGGCCTTGGTCTAGGCTCGACTCTCAAGCAACTTGAAGATAAGCCATTGAAATTTTCAATGAAAGCTAATGCTGGGATTAAAAAAATTGTTCTTATCGACAATAAAGCTGAAGATGAGGAAGATTAAAGTAAGTTTTAACTAGCTTAATCATCATTATAGATATGGAGCATGAAGCAGGGGCTATTCTCGGATTGGTCAACCTATTCTTGAAAAAGCAATTCAAAGCTCAGACTGTTGAAGCACCACTACACCTTCTCGAAAAGTTCAACTCCTTCGTTGATATAGAGAAAATTGCATCTCTAACTAAAATCAAATTAATCCCAGGCTACTTGGATGCTTCAATCGGAGATTTAGAGCTAAAAGATTTGACAATCCCAACTAAACTAATTGAAAGAGTGAAATTCGAAGCTGAAGGAGTTAGTGATACTTTTCACAAGGATCAATTAAGGAAGAAGGCAGCTTACGAAAGAAAGTAATAGAAATTAGCAAAGAAATAAGAAACCACCGAAAAAGTACTTGAAAATGATTAGATTAAAATTGAGTTATGAGAATATATCTTAATTTAATTGATTTTTTTACCATTATAATCTTCCTATTATAACTCCCCACATTGACTTGAAGACATTTTAATCTAGAAAAAAGTTTTTGTTTAGATTTTTATTTTAATTAAATCAGTATTACTCCTAAATCAAATAAATACATATTTAATTCTAATAAGTTTAATAATCCTTCATTTCGACTTAGCTTAGGCTCTGGGGTTTTGGGGTTTTGGGG